AACGAGTAAATTATCTACTCCGTCGTAGGTGTGCCAAGGTGACAGGATAATAGTCGATGTAATAAATTTATTGCATTCTGAGAGTACGACAATGCATTGGCATGGTCAACATCATGTTAAAACGCCGTACATGGATGGTGTACCCTACGTATCTCAATGTCCGATTTCGCCAGGTTCAACTTTTCGTTATGATTACATTGCCACAGAAGCAGGCACGCATTTTTGGCATTCTCATTTAGGTACGAGAGCATTATCAATTAAACGTTCCATTTCTCGTTTGTTTGTCAAATCGGTCAACCGTTTTTAATGAAAATCCGAATTTTTAGGCTTCCAACGAGGTGACGGAGTATACGGTGCATTAATCGTACGTACACCACCGAAAGTGAATTGGCATAAAATCTTGTACGATATCGACGAACATACTATCCTGATCTCAGATTGGACTCACGAATTAGGAATTGATAAATTTTTAAGTCATCATCATGCAGGAGGAGATAATAAACCACCCAATATATTGGTTAATGGTTTAGGTCGTTTCGTAGTTAATCGACACGGAAAGAATATATCTGCTATAATGCCAACTGCAACATTTACCGTTAAACAGGTAACCTTAAAGCATTAAGGCAGATAAACAAATAATTTATGCTGAAGATTTACAGTTATCACGTCTCTTTTAATTTACATTTACATTTACAGAATGCTAGATACAGATTTAGGCTTATCAACGCCGAATTTCTTAATTGCCCGATCGAATTATCAATCGACAATCATACTATACGTGTAATTAGTTCAGATGGACGTGATATCGAACCTGTCGAAGGTACGTACAAGTATAAAAGGAAGCAAAAAGGAGGGAGAAAGAAAATGATAAGGAAAGGGATTTCTTAACGCAGAATTTATAATTCTAGCGGGATCTTTGATAAGCTACGCTGGCGAAAGATTCGACTTTGTCATTGAAACTGATCAAAACGTGGACAACTATTGGATACGACTTCGCGGATTAATGGATTGTGACGAAAGATTTACCAAAGCCCATCAGGTTGCTATATTACGATACGAAGGTGCGGCCAAGAAAGATCCAAAGGGTGTGGTTGCGTACGAACGCGAATCCAACGATTCTATGGGTCAGGTGTGTTTATGTGTACCCTGCTCGAATTTTTCAATTTATCATATATCTATATTTATACGAATGTAAACATGTGAAATGCAATAAGATGTGCATATAACAAATGTCTTTTTCTTTCAGCGAGTAAATGCTTTAAACGAGGGTACAGAAACTGATAAAAGTATCAGTATACCACTGTTAAAAGCTATGGACAAAAATGACGAATCTAATACTGCACCTCCTGATTATCAATTTTATGTGTCCTATGACTTTTACAAAAAAGATAATCCTCATTTTCATAGGAGCAACCTTTATGGATTTGATCAAGGTAATGCCGCCCATATTGACCAAAGATGTAATAGATATACAATATATGTATATGTATAACATAAGACATATATGTAAGTAACATTTGATAAATTTCTTGTCTGCTTGATGCAATTTCTAGTAAAGGATACAAAGCGAGTGCTCACTCCTCAATTAAACCATATATCAATGAAATTACCTTCCATGCCTTTGTTATCTCAAAGAGATTTCATTGATTCAGATCAATTTTGTAATGCGAGTACTGTTAAACATTGTGTGCAAGATTATTGTGCTTGCACTCACGTGCTCCGAGTAGATCTTGGTAGCGTGGTGGAAGTAGTTTTAGTGGATGAAGGTTTGGAAATTATTTTATATTATCTATCCATAAAAATCACACGATTGAAATTGCTTGATTTTTCATTATTTATTTTTTAGGTTTTGCTTATGACGCGAATCATCCATTCCACCTTCATGGCTATCAATTTCGCGTGATTGCAATGCAGAGAGTCGGCAAAAACGTCACCGTTGACCAAATAAAAGCATTGGATAAAAAGGGAGCGATACAACGAAATCTTGACCGTGCTCCGTTAAAAGACACTGTAACAGTGCCGGATGGTGGTTATACCATTGTACGATTTCATGCGAACAACCCAGGTATTTCTGACAGATAATCAGAGCACAGTATACTATACGTTCGTTCGATATCTTTACAAATTTTATATTATGGTCATTTTTATCAATTTTAGGCTATTGGTTGTTTCACTGTCACATTGAGTTTCACGCGGAAGTCGGAATGTCCTTGATTTTTAAAGTTGGTGAACACAAAGATATGTTGCCAGTACCAAATAATTTTCCTTTGTGCGGTAATTGGCAACCTGAAGATATACGATTTAAATCAAATGCCGCCAGCATTTTATTAAACACTGCGGAAAATTCCGTAATAGAAAATTCAAGCACGACACTGGATAAAATGACTGAAAACAGTATACAGCAATACATAAAGGTGTTACCGCAAATTCTAAAAACGTTACATATCTCATCTTCGGCTAGCATCTCAGTTATTCCGTATTTCTTGATTTCTTGTTCTTCTTTTATCGCTATAATCTATAAGATTGTGTAAAAACGGAGGTCGTTTGTAAATATATATACTGTATTAATCTTCCCATTACAGCTAAATAAGTGATACACAAGTGATATGTAACATTCTCTCATGTGAGATGTTAACTTCACTTGGTTATTTGAAATCACCAAACAATCGTGTTACCAAGTAATATTTGATATACAGGGTATATGTTTTAACGGAAAACGGTAGAATATCGTATAACAAGCTGAAGATATTAAAGAACTGTCCTTGCAAGAATAATCTGATATCGAGATAATATATTACAAAGTACATACATTAAAATGCATTATCTGATATAGATAACTATTCCCCATGAATCGTATGTATCTCTTTTTAAAGATATTTCACGTTCATTGTCAACGGCAATTGCATATCGTTTTATTCGTTTCAGTAAATATTGTCACATACATAAATATAGCGTTTCATTTAAAAGAATTACTTCACTTACAGAAAAGCTATTTATTTATATGACACATAATCAATCCTCTTTCAAATCAAACCAAAGATTTGTAACAACATTCATATATGTATATATATATCTTCAGTTCTTTATATGATATCACACTGGTTCCAGTTAAAAAGGACAACCTGTATTATTAAATGCAAACTGCGATATTAAATGAAGTTGAATACACATTATACGTATTTTATTACTTAGTATTGTAACAAAAAGGAAATGTTAAACAGGAGAAACGTCCATTTGTGTTCTAATCTACTTTCAATTGTAAGTAGTTCTATTTATTGAGTATTTCTACGCTGTGATATAAATATTATAAGCATATCTATTAAAGATTAAATACTGTTAATTGCAGAGAAACATTACTTGTAGTAAGTATGTAGCTAACTTACTTCTTGTTTTTACATTTAATAATACGTGCGAGCGAATGGTTGATGAATATTCTCATGTTATGTTACATTGTTTTGTAAATGATTATAAAGTTTGATATAAAATTTATGATAAATCAAAAAATGTTGTTTTATCCATCCCTTGTCGTAATATTTCGTGCGTGACAATCTGTTGAAAATTTTTTATGTGTAAACATAGTCGACGTATTACAAATGTATGTGTGTAAATTCACATGTAAGCTACTTTAACATCATTTTTGAATTTTATCAATGTAAGGAAAAAGAATTTATGACGTGATCAACAAAAAAACGATGAACAAAAAGCTTATATTGATCGCGTATATATAGCATGTAACAATATCAGGAGTACGAGAGGTTTCTTAAGCTTCAAAGCTTTATTTATTGCATGTATTGTCAATGATTATATTTTTTAAACTTACATTAATGTTCCTTTTAACAATTTTCAGAAGACAGAAGTTATACAGTTAAATATCATTACATGTTTCTTGAGAACCAGGAGATGGACAAATTGCATAACATACATCTTTTTGAGGTGGCCTTTGTAGGGGATGTGCCAGTAGTTTAGCCATACTGTCATGCAATTTTGCTGCGTTCCTTCCTACTTCTAATATGTATGAAAAATTTGTTGTATCCAATTTTGCTATTTCAGAATAAACTTCTTCGCATAAATTTTCTGAGCAAGGTGGTTCATGTACATACAATACATCTATAAAAAAATATGGATTTCTTGTAAGAGTATCTAAAGGTTTTTTATCAATATGAAATTTTGGTACACTGTTGGAGCGTGAATACACTAAAATTACTCTGACAACAAATGCTGGAACAGCTGTGTCATGTTCTTTTGTTGGTAGAGGTAAGTTTCGTTGTATTTCATCAAACATTTGCCCAAAATCGTATGATTTTTTATCTTCTTCTAGAAGATCATCATTAATAAGATTCAAGTGATTAACAATGCTGTTGGTGTTATTGGTAAAATCGCATATCCATTGAGAGCTGTGAGAATTCAAAATCATTAATGCATATTCATGACTATGTTGAATGATAGATTTAATGTAAATAAAATTTTCAATAGTTCGTTTTATCATAAACAGAGGCATATAGCTAGCTCCTGTAGAAAGTTTAAAAGGAGTACAATTTCTCTCCCTTGTCGTATCGATTACGAATAGAATTTTCTCAGGTAAATTCATTCCTGACAAATTTCGCACCAACGTGTTATCTTCATCGGAGTATGATGACTTGAGATCCGGAATAAAACACGAAGCGCTGCCAGTGTTACTCATTTTCTACTGGATGTAGGTTAGCATCTCCGAGAATTTTGTTAACAAGTTAATATCATTCGTAGGTCGTTTTCTATGCATTGTTTTCCTATTACAACAGTAATTCGTATAAATTATTAATATAATATGTGTATATGTATTTGTATGTATGTGTTTACTGTTTATAACGTTTTCGTGTGATACATAAATCTCATCGGCCAGTTAACTTACATATGTCTGACATTGTTGCATGCAAACAAGAATATGAAAGCGAGTAAAATACAATTGGTCTTTTCCCCGTAAACAATTGTTTCGTTTCACAGTGCTTCTGATTGACTTTAAGCATATAGCACAACACGAAAGTTTCTCGATACAATATGCTTGCTTTGAAAGATTATGGTAGTAGTGATGATAACAGTGAACCTGAAAATGAGAGTGAAATTAAAAAGAGGGAGGTTAACTGTATTGTTGATTCTACCAACGTTTCTGTCGTTAATTCTATTTCTGCAGGAAATTTGACTGCATCTATAAATATGCAAATTTGTTCTGCACCAGAAGTAATACCAACGGTGAATATTCGTTGATAAATTTTTTTCATTAATTCACATAGGTTAAAAATTAGTTTTATGTTGCATTGATTCAACCAAGGATTATTTAAAAATACAAACAATTTTGAAATTATTCTCTTAAATAGTACAGTAATTAATACTTGTTATAATCGTTATACTACAGGGAACTGAGTTATGTATGAATCATGTAGATTCAACTGTGAAAGAAATAATGCACAACCCTAAATATGAAGAACTTTTTGCGCCGGATGTTGGTCCAGAAAATCCATTTAAAACGCAACAGCAACGTGCTGTAAAAAATATGCTTTCTGGATATGTAGAGAAAGCTCATATAAGTGAGTTTCAGTTTGAAAATCAAAGAAGAACATTTGCCAGTTACGGTATGTATTATAATAATAATAGCGTAATGATAGAAATCTTAAAAGGAACCATGCATTGCAATACGATTATAGGTTTTTGCAAATGTATTTTATAGGATATGCACTAGATCCGACTGTAGATGGTAGTGCAGACGAGGGTAAAACAATTATTGGTGCAAAAGATGCAGCTGAAGAATCTGGTGGTAAAACTGTATTTGAAAATACAACATTAAGGGCTTCTGACAAAAGAAAACGTCACAGAAATGATGATCCTGCAGATATTGAAGGATTCTTGGGTCCATGGGGTGGATATGTGGATGAAAAACGAATTATCAAACCAACTGAGGAAGAAGCTGCGGAATTAGAAGAAATATTAGCGAAAAGAAACAGAAGGGGAAAACCAACAGAGGAAAAACCGCTTGAAGAAAAAACAGTATTACATAGTACTATCGTGATAACTTTTAAATATGTAAATTATTTGAATAACGAGAGAAATTTTGTAATTATGATTAAACTCTTTTTAGTTAAAGATAGTGTGGATTATCAGGGCAGATCATTTTTACACGCGCCACAGGATGTTGGGGTGAATTTGAGGTCAGAGTCACCACCTGACAGATGTTTCTTACCAAAAGCACAAATTCATACTTGGGAGGGACATACCAAAGGTATTTCACAGATCAGATGGTTCCCACATACTGCGCATTTGTTACTTTCTAGTAGTATGGATTGTAGGGTGAAGGTATGTATTCGAATTTTCTGTGAAAAGTAATATGAAAAACAAATGTCAAGTTGTAATGTTGTTTATATGGTATTAATTATAGTTGTGGGAAGTTTATAAAGAAAGAAGATGTATCCGAACTTATTATGGTCATCGTCAAGCTGTAAGAGACATAAGCTTTGATAATGATGGGAAAAGATTTTTGTCTGCTGGATATGACCGTTATGTAAAATTGTGGGATACAGAAACTGGTGCTTGCGTAAGTCGATTTACAAGCAGAAAAATTCCATACTGTGTGAAATTTAATCCTGATCCAGATAAGCAACATTTGTTCGTAGCAGGGACTAGTGATAAAAAGATTATCTGTGTAAGTTATAAACATTATATTCTGATGTTTGAGGGATTTTATAAATGTCAGTTTCATAGATAATAAATTATGCATGCCTTTTACAGTGGGATATACGTTCCGGTGAGATAACACAAGAATATGACAGACATTTGGGAGCTGTAAACACGATAACATTCGTAGATGAAAATCGAAGATTTGTAACGACTTCGGACGATAAAAGTCTGAGAGTATGGGAATGGGATATACCGGTCGATATGAAATACATAGCTGATCCTTCGATGCATTCTATGCCAGCAGTTACACCCTCTCCTAATCAAAAGTGGCTGGCGTGTCAGAGCATGGATAATAAAATTGTTATATTTTCTGCATTAAACAGATTTAAAATGAATCGTAAGAAAACATTTACGGGACACATGGTCGCTGGCTATGCGTGCGGTTTGGATTTTTCTCCTGACATGAGGTAATAAAATTGTTATTAATTCCTGTAAAATTCTTTTGGCATGGCACAATTTAATTCCTTTATTCTAATTTTAAGTTACCTTGTATCGGGAGATGCGGATGGAAAATGTTATATATGGGATTGGAAAACGACAAAATTGTATAAAAAATGGAAAGCACATGATGGTGTTTGTATCGATGTATTATGGCATCCTCATGAACCTTCGAGATTAGCCACAGCTGGTTGGGATGCAAAAATAAAATATTGGGATTAAAAGAATTGTAGATCGTGTTTTTACAAAATTTATTGTGCTTTCTGTTTATTCTTGTATTTGTATTTTATATAACATGTATAAATAGATTTACTCTGTACATATATTTTCAATTACGTACCATTAATAAAAATACATAATTATAAAAAATTGAAATTGAAATTGAAAATGAAATTTTCAATTTTTGAGCGACGATTCGTTGACACGATACGAAATGTACGTAAATATATTACTTTTTTAAATAATAAATCACCGTATTAAATATTTAAGAGAAAGATGTTACTGTGCGTTAGTTAACAATTTTTATTACATACTTTTTTTCGTTAAATTTCTGATTACGTTTCTGATTAGACACAAGTGATACATGTAAGTGTACATATAAGGGTAATACACTTCATTGACGATTATTTAATTTTTTTACAAGTAGTTGAAATGAAAATATTACAATCCCGTTTAAAGTAAATGCTAAATCTTAAATAAGCTGTATCACAAATATATTTTAAATACTTTTTAAATAATAAATTACTAATTCTATTATTTCATGGCGGTGGTAAAAATCAATAATACGCATCATGATGTCCGCCGTTTTTGTTTCATACGTCGTTACGAATTTGTTTACTATCTTCATCAAATTAGATCCTTTGAATCTAATTGTTAGATTTACGAACGCTTAACACTATACACATACATATATGCTCTCTTCAAAATTATTGGAATCTAACATGATAAACCGATTCATGCAAATATCTTGAAACTGTATAAATATCTATCAAGAGTCTTTACTAAATAGGAAGGTAACAGTAACTTTTTACTTACGTATATAAGTATTTAGGTATATCTTTTTCCAATACGAACTCTAGTTATACGAATAAATTTATTAAATTGTTCAAGTATGTTGTACATATGTATATGTTTTCAACATCTTCGTCGAACACGTGGCTTTCGTGTCTGTGTCTATGTCATATGAGATGCGAGATTGTTTTCTTCGTTTTATTAAAAAAGGTATAAAGATTGGAATAATCGAATCGATCCAAGGAAATCTATTTATTCGCCTCTCTAAGACTACCATTAAACAACGCGAGATTACATTACATTACAACGAGTATTACATTGTGCCCTTCTATATATAATCGCATAAATATCATTAAGGAAGGTGACAATGTGTCTTTAAAAATATACGTAATATGATAGGTTTAATATAGAAATGGACGGTCCTGGCTTAGGATACTCGTATCATCTCCCTTCTGCAGGATGGAATTTTCGAGTTAGAAATGTACTTTCACAGTTCAGTGATCTCTTTAGTGAATTTAATAAATACATTGCACCTGCCTATCATCATGATCGGTGCGAAAGGTACTTTCCTCTGTTTCTATCAATTATTATGTACGTTCATATTGTTTACTAATAATGGTTTTATTTTTTAGATCAGTTCAAATGCGACTATATTCTATGCATAAGAGAGAATTTGTTATGGTGTTTGCTGCTTTTTTTGCATGTTTTGGATTAGCTGTATTTATTGGACTTGCAGGTAAGTAAGAAGTAGAAGGTATAATTTATAAAAATATGTTTTCTTTTGTCATTGTTATTCCTTTTATAATGATGATTTGTTATTAATATAGGCCCTCCTATCACTTCCACGAGCGAACAAAGAGCTCATGTAAATGGCAGTGAAGTTGCTACTGGTCCTTTTATGATGAAGACTCCACTATTATCTACGTACAGTCAACAGCTATGGGTCATCGCAAAGTTATTAACATCTAATAATGATGGTAATACAACTACAAAATGAAGAAATTTTTAAGAAATAATAAAATTGAGATTATATGTTTTGAATTTTACAGATGAAAGATATGACAAAAGTTTTCAAATAAGCATCTCTATAGATGGTATCACCATTGATCATAAACTCATACCTGTTTTGTCCTCAGAAGCTGGCCATAATAGGTACGTCTAGAACCTGTATAGCACAATTCACTGTTTGACAAGATTATACAATGTTAAATATTTACTATTGTGTGTTTTCTCTTTATAGAACCAGACACTTAAAATGTGAAAGACAAATGTGCGAAGAACTTGTAGTTGCTCATCTAGGATTTCTCGATTACAGTTATTACATTATTACTGTTCACTTTCATGGGCTCGAGAGCTTCCACCAACGCTATAACATACGCGATCTCACATTCTACGTCAGTAAGCACTATATGAAATAAAATGACTGTGTTATAAGATTTTTCAAAATCGAAATAATCGCATTTGATAATGTTCTTACCTGTTCATAGTTCAAGAATTACAATCCAGCGTTTACGGAGTTCGAGATTTGGTTTCGATTTATCTTTTTGTTAATTGCATTTGGAGTTATGGTAAAGAACAATTTTGTGTAATATATATTCGCATATTACTTGAAAGGAAACATTATGCCATATATGAATGTTATCAATTTTTAGTGCTGGTTTGGGCATTCTCTACGAAAGTACCAATTACACGATTGGTCAATAGAACAGAAATGGATCTCTATACTCCTTCCTTTGTTAATCTTGTATAATAGTAAGATGTTAAAAATTAACTTATGTTTTTACACATTTTCAAGAAACTAATTTATTTCACTTTCTTTATAGATCCATTATTTCCAATGACGTTTTTAGTGAACTCTTGGGTACCTGGTATGATAGATGCAATTTTACAGACGACGTTCCTTTGTGCAGTCCTCATGTTTTGGTTATGTGTTTACCATGGTTTAAGACAAGTATGACATTTCTTTAATTGATATGACCTAGCAGAATTTAAATCATGGTATTGTTTGTACTTATAAATCTTACATTTTAATAGAACGAAAGGCGTCTTATTACGTTTTATTTACCAAAAGTTTTGGTAGTGGGTTTACTATGGTGTTCCGCGTTTATTTTAGCAACATGGTTGCGCTGTACAGAATTAGAAGACCCCACTTATAATTATGTTCTAGATACATCAAATTATTTTGTAAGTTATCAAGATAATTGATAGTTAAATCTTTGGCATGCAACATTTTTAGTTGATACTTAAGGATCTATATGATTATAGGGTTTCAAGGTGTTCTTCTTCACAGTAGGAGGATTTTACATAGCATATCTTCTTCTTTTAATATTGAGAGCGTACAGCGAATTGAGATCCATGCCGTATTTTGGTATGATTTCAAATGATTTATTATCTTTCCCCTTTGTTTCTCTTTTTTCTATTCTGTTTCGGTTTTTCTTCATTTCTATGTTGTTTCTCAGATCTTCGTTTACGTTTCTTAACACTGCTTGCCGCTGTGGTTTCGTTGGTTTGTGGTTGTGTGACAGCGCGACAATTTGGAGCTGGTATTTTCGAAGACAGTTTTGCCTCTCGTCTCACCACCTATTATCGTTCATCCGCGCAATTTATGGCTTTATATGGTCTTCTAAATTTTTATCTATATACGATGGCTTATGTATATGCACCGGCGTATCAACAAGTATATGGTCAACGTGAGTATCTTTAAAAGAATAAAATATTCCTTCAGCAGATCATTGTATTATTAATTCAATCGACATTAGATTCTTCTATAACTAAGGACAACCCCACGTTTTCTATGATCAACGATTCCGACGAAGAAGTCATATATGGATCAGATGAAGAAAGTCGACGACCTTTAACGCGAACGTCACGAATTGTGAATAATAATAATTAATCGAATTAAATTTATTACTGTGAACGAAGAAGAAGCATTTTTAAAGCAAAGGATGCGGTAACGACATAATGTCAAAAATAGCAATCGTAAATATGTTGTAAAATAAAATACATGGAAACGAATAATTTATCCTAAGCGAAACTTAATACCATGTAATTCGTTATTTGCACGTATTTGTGTACATACAAGATGTATTATACTTTCATTCAATGCATAAAATTTTAATTACAAGTTACTTGTTACTTGACGTGTGATATTATGTATGTTTTTCTTATTTTTGATCGACTAATATATCAATAAGATATCTTAACTGTATTGTGTTAGAATGTCTGATGATAAATATAATAGAGATGTAAGTGCATCGAGTGACATGTGAAAACAAGCGTGAAAAAACGATCAAGTATATTTCGTCTCCGTAATGTTGGTCGTATGCGAGAACAAAGCGTTTATTGTATTCACTATTGCTCGCTAATACTAATGTATAATGTATGTAATTACTCTTGAATAACATAAATTGAGAACATTTTGTGTATTAACAGTTATAATTCTAAACTATAAGTCGAAAAGAGAATAACTGTTTTATTATTTTGTTATATTTTTGTCAAGTATCAAAATTATCTGTATAAATATGTTCTCCGATTGATATAAAACACATAAAAGTTTAGCGTATTTAATTGTCACAACTTTTAGCTTTTTTGCAAAAGCTACTATAAGAATACTCTTTTACATAGCAATTCATTGCAAAAACAAGAAATATAGCAAGACACGTATTAATATCAACCGATTCAAAATTTGAAAGACGGGGAAGAACGGAAATCAATGTGCTACACGGAAGTGTTATACATATGTATGTATTTACTACGTAGAAGCACGCGCGATATGCATGTGTGTGTGTAAGCCATATAATCATATAAAGTGTAACGTGTAACATTCATTTCGGATTGTTTGAATCATTATTAAAATAAATAACTCGTACCACATTTTACTTTTTCTCGGTAAGTTTAATACAATAATGTACCTGGTACATTTACTTACAATGTTCCGGTCAAAGTACATTGACTCACGTAAATAATTTGTTGTATATACGTATGTAAATGCGTTGGCTTGTGAAAGGTTATAACAAACAAAACTGTTAAGTCTCTAGAAATTACTATTAGTTTACTCTTTTGGACGTAAAATGATTATTTTCAAGTATAAATACTGATTAGTATCGTTTAAAATTCGATTGAAAGTAATGTATATAAAATTATTTTAGATAAACACGTTTATAGAAAATGCCGAAGTCAAAAGAGTTTGTTTACACGGATGACAGTAGTGATGAGGTATTGTTATCAAATTTTTAGTATATTTATATTAAATATTATATTATATTAAATTATATAAATAATGAACATGCATATGTTAGATAATATCGAATAAGATTGATATAGTACTCCTTTGAGTTTAAAATACATGTAAATACAGAACACATACATTATATATATTTTTTTTTTCTTTATTATATAAGGAAATAAAAACAAAGAGGCAAAAGAAAGAAATTGAGGACAAAAAAGGAAAGGTATCAAAAAAGATGCCAGAGAAAGAATCTAATAAAGATGAAGATACTGTATGGGATTTGGGAAATAATCGCCAAATTAGTATAAGAGACTTTAAAGGAAAATTATATGTTGACATCAGAGAAATGTATTACGATAAAGAAGCAAATTTAAAGCCTGGAAAGAAAGGTACTAATACATTTTTTGTATATGTTTATATGCCGTAAATAACAATGATTGAAAAATATTTTATTCTTTATGTAGGTATTTGCTTAAGCATAGGTCAATGGCAAAAGTTACTATCTGTTGTGGATGATGTCGATAAAGCAGTAAAGTCTAAATCCTGAATATTTATCTTCTTCTGTATCTAGTAAATATTTCAATGGTTTGGGATTATTGAATATGTAATACATGTTTCTATTACTATTTATAGACAAACTATACTACATTTTATATATAATCTTTAGTTACAGTCATGTATCGGTTTACGTTATATCCTTGAAATAGTATTTTCAATAAAACATGTTTTCCATCTTATGCATATGTCAAAACAATTTAAAAACTTATCACTACTTTTATCTTCTATTCACAAGATTAACTTTTATATAATACAACTATAATATTATTATAGTTTCTCAGGAAATTAAATAATAATAAAAATATACCGAATATTTATGTTGTACAGCATACACACACACGCGCGAGCGCTTGCTTGCTCACATACATATACACACACGTATGATGTTTCATGTTTCTGTACAATTTTAAAAAGTTAAAATACTTAATTATTGTTCATGCTGGCCCATGGACTGAAGTTAAAAACTTATCCAGATCTAAATTATTCAATAATGTTTGTGGATCTGTTGTGCATTGCTGTTTCTCAGTCTACGAATAAAAAGAAAAGGGAAAGAGACAAAGAATAACAGGTAAACTTTTTATGAAGTTTTATGAACGAACAAAGAAGCTTAAATTGATCACAAACCTGTTTGCTTTCTTTCAAATCTGAAACCTTCCTTTTTGAAATCTTTGCAGCAGTGTTGGCTGAAATTAGTAATTTATTAAATCTGTGCTATTAATAAACAAACTCAAATTACCTTAAACTAAAATTACCTTTATTAACTCCTCGAATTCCGTTTACGTTCAACCGTTTTTTACTATTGTGCAGTATCTTGTTATTTCTTTCATTCATGACAGTAGCAGTATTAATAGCGACTTTTTTTACACAATTTTTTGTGCACACAAATGATTCGTCCAAAGGAGACGAAGTTGCTAAAGGTTTCACGTGCATTCCCTTTTTGGTTGAAGTATCGATAAACGGGTTGTTCAGTGTTTCACAATTATTTTCATGCTTAATTGGTGATTTCTTGCTTCCTAATCTTTTTTTAGTCTTTGGCGGCAAATTAAATATCTCTTCATAGTCAGTGGCAGTCATTACTTTAATTGTTTCATCGCAATTTTTATCGTTCAAGACAATATTAATTTGGAATTCTAATTCATGATTGCTATGCCTACGCCTTCTTTTTTTGGAAGATGCATTATCGTCATATAGGAAATGATATTCTACCGAGTTAGGAATAGTTACATTAAGATCCATTTTACGATTATATTTCATACATTGAGATTCGACCATATGCTCGTGCTTATACGTGGGAACGAGCTGCAAACACTGAAGAACGCGCGATAAACTTTTTGGATTTTCCGAGTTGGTATTTTCTGTGATTGTACTTCTAACAGTATCGTGTATTTCAATAGGAGGAACATTATTATTCTTTTGATTAATTGAATATTCGATAGCATTTGATATCTCTTCCCTCCTAAATACTTGTTCCTCGTCACTAAACAAATCTCGCTTTACTTGATCAACTTTTGATTTTAATAAAGTACTTGTTGTTTTACCACTATTATAATTCGGGTATTCCCTTAACTTACATGTATTTTCTCCATTATAACTGCAGTTGTTTTTTGTACCACTGCATTCATTCCCACGTAAAATAACTTTATTAATGGTATTACTGTCGCCTTTTTCAATTTCCGTGTCAATCTCATTTTGCATTTCTGGATTCTCTGTCACATCTAATTCTACTATTCCTCTGTTTTCCGTAATTCTCGAGTTATAAGTTTGATTTTCCATTTTAAGCGCATTTGCTTGTTGATATACATTAACTTCAACGTCACTCATAATGTTATCAACCGCTATTTCGATGATTTTTTTGGTGTCATTTTCGAGTGCTAAATCATCATTTTGTACATGCTTATTGTTATTATCTTTTTCTTCTGAATCTTCCAAGCTATATAGTTTACTTTCTGATGCACCATCAATGGATAAATGCTTTGTGCATTTGTCATCGTTATTATTATTACTATTACTATTATTATTATTATGTTTATTATTGCTGCTACTAATGCTAGCATTACTAGCATCGTAGTTATTGATATTATTATTATCAGTGTCGTCACAATTATTGTCACTGCCATTACTAGATTTGTTGTTATTACTGTTGTTGTTGCTATTATTATTATTATTACTTTTATTATTTTGGTTATTATTAGAATGATTTGATTCTTCCATCCACTTTTTTCTTTTCTTCTTTCTTTTCATCTCACTGAATTTATTCTCACTCTTCTGACTATATTTGTGCTGATTGTTTTTTTTCTTTAAACTAATATTATTTTTACCCCGAAAAATGATTCGACCTTGCTGGCTTTTATCTCGGGTAAGATTAGCTTTAGGTATTTCACGAAATTTTGCTATCATACGTTGTCTTTTTGCCTCCAATTGGACAACTAACTTTTTATCTATAGTTAGAGATCTTTGCCTTTTTTCCATGGAAGAATGTTTTATGGATTTAGTTGGTTTAAAAGTAACCAAAGAATTCGATCTTAAATGTTGTATATTGATCACTTTGGGCTTCTGTTTAAATCTTTTATTTGTAGAATTTTCCATAATTAAACGTTGATTCGATTTGGACAACTTTCGATCTCCCGAAGTTATTAATGCGGAAATTTTCGAAGACAGATTAGTTAGATTCTCTATACCGATCTTTGAACTATTAGGAGTCTCAGAAATATCTACTTCATTCAAAGTTTCATCTTTGGCAGGTGTTTCTTTCGTATTAGTTTTACAATCCTCTTCATTCTTTAATATTGAAAACACTTTTGAGGGTGAAGATTCACATTTTCTTAAAGTAATAATTGCCTCTTCTGCATTGGTTGGTTTCATTTTTAATCCTAGAGTATTATTTTCTGAAATTGTTGGACATTCAGTTCTTTCTTCGTTTATTGTTTCTATAACATTTTTAATTTTGTGTGTCGAATCGCTGTTTGTATTGATACAAACTTGATTTGTAATATTTTTGCTTTTTTTATTAAAAGTTTTTAAACTAGTTAAAATAGTTGATGATGGTGACGATGATGGTGATGATGGTGGTGACGATGGTGGTGACGACGACGATGATGATGATGACGACGATGAAGACGATGACGACGACGACGAAGACGACGACGACGACGATGTTGACGAGGATCGGGATGAAGAGGAAGATGATATCGATGCATCGCTATCATACGATTCTTCGCTATTCGGCAAATATTTTTCATTATCGACATTCATTTTTTCATACATATCTTTATTCACGTTATGTTGTTGAGTAACACCATTCTCGATACAATCAGTTTTCGTATAATAAGTCGAATCTCTTGAATTAGCTGATATTTTAAGTTCTTTTATTGCTTCTTCTTTCGGCAAATTCTCTTTGATTACTTCGAACTGTGTTATTTCTAATTTCGTAGATACACAAGCTTGATACGTGTTCGTAGAATTGATAATGTTTTTCGATATAGATTGGTTTGTACATTGTAATGGTACTACGGATGATTTTTCGATATTATTATCCGGTTTTGTTTGTTTTTCATGTTGATTTTGCTCAGAAGTTGGTTTATAATACGGAGAACAAATATCAAATGTTTCTTTTTTTATATTGTCTGTGGTAGTTTCTTCCGAGATTTTTGGAGTCAATGCAATGCAAGGTGTTTTTGGAAATTCTGGTGTATTTATGAAAGAACGTATTTTACTAGAATCTTCGCTAAATTTAACAAACGGCGTTGCATTGCTGCTTGGACTGAGCAATCTTGGTGTTGGTGGAACACTAGAAGGATTTTCAAATTTTTTCGGTGTTTCGTGATCGATCATATTAGGTATTTGTACTAATTGCTGTGTAATATCGACAGAAGCTGTTGCAAGTTCTGAATGCCGTGTGATGTCTACGGAAACGATATCGTTCTCTAAATATGGTTTCCTCTCAATTTGATTGTATTTATTTAAATTGGTCTTCAACGTTTTCAATTGAGCATACTTTTTCATATTTTTCCTTTCGAATGATAAGTTATTGGTTGTTGTTGTTATCGTTGCATTTTCATGTAAATGATTACTCTTTGCTAATAATTGATGCTGAGCATTCTTCTGTTCAACAACAAGCTTACTTTTATTTACTGCTGGTTTCACGTTAGAAAAATTTGCTTCCAGAGTATTGTTAATCCCAGAATCTAGAAAGTTTTCCTTTGGTTCGGATGCGTTACGATCTATGCTTTTTATGCTCGATGATTCCATTACATTCCATTTTCCCATGGTACATTCGTTTTTTGCATCTTGCACAACGTTATTTTCCTTTGGCAAAATATTTTTACTTTTTCCTTTCGATGTGCGTAAATTGCGCTTGCCCTTCTTTGTCGGTGAGAGAACAATATTTGATTTAGCAGTCTTTGTAGAATTCGTTCTCTTGTTACTTGTGGATATCTTCGTTCCTTGGTGATCCTCGTCTATACCAATGTGTAGAGCTTTCCGTAAATCTGCATCCCATGTACCTTTCGTAAGTTCCAGCGACTTGGATTGGATCTTGACAAGTTTATTTTCCGAAGAAACGTTGATATTTGAACATGGAGGGACATCGCCTATAATTATCCCAAGTCCGTTATATTTCTCCCATTCGCCCATAAGCTTTGGTACTGGACTTCTCGTCGCTATCGGAAGTTGGCAATGTTTTAATGGAGTCTTAGTTTTATGAGTAGATGTGGTAGTATTAGAAAGCGGTGACGATTTGTAAAGAGTAGTTCTACATAAAGATGTAACGAGTTTTGCGGATTCCGAAGAAAAACGCCTCCCTTTGTTTTCATTGACCATTTTATCGGATACAGTTGTCTTCATCGGCGTGTTAAAATCAAGAGCTCTTATATGACTGTTTCTTCTTCTTGGTGTTGATAAACTTAATCTATAATTTTTCGATCTACTCCTCATCAACGACCTCGGAGTACGTTTATCAATGATATCACAATCGGTATTTTTTGAAGCTGAAAGATGGTGATCATTAACGATATTGTTCGTTTTTAACGGAGCAACAACTTTTGCATCCTGAATGACAGATGTCAAGTCAATATCTGATAAGTTTTGATTGCTCTTATTCCAATTGAATTTTATGTATGGAGATAATCCAGAAGTGGATAAGCTAATGTTATCTTCTATATTTATCATAGGCATGCTTGAACTATCTAGTAATGTTTTGGTGCTAGTTTCATTGCTATACAGGGTTATTGATTCTCCAGCAACTGATTTGACGGTATTGGACACTATGGGATTAGTAATTGAATTGCCAATAAAATTATTAATATTATGTGTGGTTCTGTTTTTCTCTTTATTATTGTTTATTTTGTTATTATCTTCTTTTTGAGATGTGTGTACTTTCGCGGTCGTGGTCGTGGTCGTTGCCGTAGTCGTTGCCGTTGTCGTCATCGTCGACTTCGTTGTTGTTGTTATTGTCGTCGTAGTTGTTATAGCGGTCATTGTTATTGCACAAGAAATACAGTTTTTTAAATCGTTTGACGTACCACAGAGTGGTGATGTTACTTTTTGAGCGACATTTACGGTTGTTAGATATAATGTTTCCACGAAATCTTTATTCGTTTTATTGATTATCGGTCCTTTGGGAACAATAGGAATGAACCTCGAATTTGTAGTAGATGTTATTGGACGAGTCAGCGGGTAAGAATTTACCGATAACATATTATTTATTTCTTCTTTCGAACATAGTACTAATGTTGGCATTGTTATTACGTTTTGTTCAGATGTATAATTATTTATGCTACCTTTTGGTTTCTGTTCTTTAAGCTTCGTATGTCGTAACCGTTTTACCGACGATCTTTTAATCTTTGACTCCATATTATCACCTTGAATCGTTGTAACAACGTTACTACCATCTTTTTGAGTAGCGTCAGTTGTTAATTTTCCAATTTGCCCTGTATCTTTATCAAGAGGAATTTGAAATGTTGGCAATTCTTTTTCGCTATTATTGTCTAATGTACATACAATTTCTTTCGTTCTTTTATCGTTTGCCGATTTGTCGTTAACGATATTTGCGTTTATTATACTTAATACTGCAGCGGCGTTTTGATCTTCCAACATATTATATTCTTTCTCTTGGTCACGTTGTTCGTCTTCATTACGAATATTTTGTTGTCTAGAAGAACTACGAAGTCTGTGCTTTAATGGAATATCTGTATTTACTGTTCCATCTAATTCTGTGGACGATTTGACATCTAATATTATAGATTCTAATGGATTATTGTTGTTTACAATCACTTCACTTTGTTTATCTTGTGAGCCATCAAGGAACTTTGCTTTTTGTTTAGCTTCGGTATCTTCATCATGACTTGCATCAGTTTCTGTGTGAGGCCCGATGATTTCTTCAAGAAACTTTTCAAACACAGGATCAGTCTCTGTTGCTTCAACTATTGATTTAATCGTGTTATTTAGTTCTGCCATAATAGAGGTGTTTGCTTCACCATTTAGAGGATCATTTAAATTTTCATCTTTCAATGACACATCTGTTGGAAGTATTGCTTTATTTATATTCTCAGCAATTCGCTCTTGTAACTCGATACGGTTTAACAGCTCTTTCGTTAATAACTATAATACAGATTACAAAAAGTTAAAAATCAATTGAGAAGTTATTATTATAGAAATCGTTAGTAGTATTATATTAATAATTAGTGATCGTTAGTAGTATTAGATATATCGTTATTATTACTTACACTAAGATTTTCTATTGGTTCATCATTACTTTCTGATTCAGATTCCAATGTATCGTATGGGATAGTTTGAACTTCTGCGCACGAGTAGCTCAATAATTCTTCCGTACTTGTCGCCGCGCTACACTTATCAAGCATGTGCAAATCTTTCATATCGTTTTCTGTACATGCATTACTTGTGACAATATCTTGTATGTTCTGAATGTTTATATCGCCGCCTAATTCAAGCATTAAGAGTTAAATGACAATTTCCACATTCCTTTACCCTTACTACTTAACTATGATTATACATATATGTCGAAAAATTATTATATTTATTGTATTACTGTTACTATTATTTTTGTCCTAATTATTGTTATCTTCAAATTGAACAAACCTTCATGTTGTTGTATACAGTTATTATATTTCTTCTCTTTGATATTAGTGATAGATTTTGGTAATTCTAATATATCCATATGACCTGGTAAACTTTCCAATGGAGTTGCTTCTACATTATCGAAATTATATGCTGTAGCAACAAAAAAACTGTTAGAAAATTATTAGAGAATCTCCTAATATCGTATGCATGTCCTTGACCTTGTACCTTTTGATGTACCTTGAGCAGAGGGTGAGTCAGGTTGTTGTGATGCGTTTAATGTTACTTTTGTACGTTTACATCGCTCGCGTTCATTATTACTATAACGTCTTTTACGTGTACTACTACTAGATATTATGGGAGAGCCATTGCCTATTTGAGAATTAGTCTGTAAATATGTAAATACGTGGTACAAAAGTAGCAGAATACATTACGATTATTAATATGGTATTATAGAAATACGAACAACATAACATTTAATTGTAATTAATAAATTTTTATAATTTGTATATACCTGTGAAAGAACATTAACTTTGTTAGCACTAAAATCTTGACCCCAAGATTCTCCAATAAGAAATTTCAACTGTTGGATTAAGTCTTCACAGTGCTTTGACTGCTCGTGATTAGCTATATTGCTAAGGTATTCATGAACTATAAAATAAATGCTAGTGGAATAAAACAAACGATATTTTTGTTCGGGAATTTTATATTTGTATTGAAATCTTACCAGTTGAATTAATAGCAAAAAATTTGTCAATGACATCTATTAAGGTCATTCCATTAACTTTAGCACTGAATCGTTTTCCATTTGAAATTACAGTACGGCACTCTTGTAAATGCGGAGAAGTCTCTAAAAATACTTTAGCAGCTTCCATACATGTTTGACTTTCAAGGTACCCTAAAATTGATTATTTAAAAACTCACAAATCATATGTAGGAAAATCCAATGAAACTTTTGAAAAATATATATACTATGTTGTGTAAATTATACATCCTTTATGCATATATATATGTATATGTTTAAAAATAAAACATCACTTGTTATAATAATGTTATATTTATTATATTTAATATTTGTGTGTATTTGGTGCAACATTGATTCATTCATTTGTGTAAAACGCGTTACTTTTCTTACGATATTTTAGTACATATAATTAAAGCAATATTATTATTATAAAATTCTAACATCTTGTCAAAGATGATATCACTGAATCTCTGTGTTTTATTACTATCTATATTCCCGCCAAATAATAGGTTATCATAATAGGACGCGTAAGATAAGTACATGTCATATTACCCTTACCAAAAACTAATCTAGCTATTTCCGAAGGTAATAATGTTTCCATAATGCTTATCGTCATTTGAAGTCTGCAATTATCATTGAAAAGTTATAATCATTTTTAGAAATGTTCAAACAAAACGTATCACAGCATAATGTACACTTTGAAACAATATTATAATACAAATCTTGAAGGATGTTGAATGGAGTACCTTTTACGCGAAGCAATGTTACCACCATTAAAACTATTTATATTTTCCTCCATATCAGTGAAAGTGGAAGGAACTTTTTATAAATTTAAGCATTTCGTAAGTAAGTACGTCCTAGATGTTATTATACGTTTTTAGTTGTTTAGATGGAAATACGAAAACATCTCTTCTAGTAATACAGTATATGATACAGCATTGTACAGCGTTTAATATTATCTGATATTATGTATTGTTTCTCAAGATTCAACAGGATTACTCCTTACTATTTACGACGAAAGTAATCATTCTGCATTATTTAGTAAGAACCTGTATGTACTTTGAAATATCGCAAGCTATAAACACAGTCGTGATTGTTATAAGTGATTACTATATATAATGTGTTTCACTTAAATTTAATTTTTTTAGATTTTTAAAAAATGGGAAATTGGCAAATGGAGGTTGGGAGAATGATGTCGTACATATTATTTCCCATTGGTATTTATTATTATATGAATCAAGCAGATAGTATCGAAGAATGGGTACAGAACGAGATGAAAAAGTTTGAGCCTATGAGTAAAGAACAACATGCTGAGTTAATAAATTTTATCGAAGAATGTAATAAGAAACGACAGTTGAAACTTATTGCAGAAATAGAAGCGCAATATCAAGAAGACTAGACTAGGTTGATCAAACTTAACATACACATGTAATTTTAATTTAAGGCAAATGAGTAAACATAAATGTAAACGTAAATATAAATCCGTTTATTATTTCTATTATCTTTAATAATAGTATTATGTAATATTAATAAATTGTTAACTGATTATATTTGAATTGTTTACATGTACTTCATCTCATATTGTACTTTATAATGTAATAAAATTTTATTCAGTTATTAATTACACATAATAAAGATTATGAATAATAACGATGTAAACAAATGTTATATATATACACACACACACACACAAACAGGTATACGATGAATATTTGATTGTAATATTGTATTTCGTAACAATAAAATTTCTGATTGAAACGTTTAATTAAAATGTGACACAAACTGAAAATGATTCGATTTATTGTGCAAATTGAATGCTATTTTTCATACAACACTTGAAACCACGGACGAGTATACAGTATAGACCTCTCATCTTATGGGATATCGTGTCCCATATTCTAAAATACCGATCGTGTAAAAAATCGGAGTGTTTCTTACGCCCTCTGCGATTTACAGTAGTGAGTGTAGGAATTATATTCGATGCAACTAATAAAGTTGGTAAAGTAACAGACGAGTGTGGTAAACTGAACAAAAGTAAAAATTTATAGTAAAAATATCCCTCTGGTTACGTGTTACACTAGAAATGATATGCACATATCTATGTACACATGTATACATATATTACAATGCGTTTTAGAATGTTTAACAATTTAACGACTAAATGTTAACGATTAAATTCACCTGAGATAATTGCAATCATACATCGATTAAAAATGTATTTGCTAACTTATATTTTTTACCACAGTATAACAAGAATGTTATCAATTTCTGAGATCTTATTCACTTCGTTACGGAGATTCTGAAAAATATTGTCTTAAAAACAAGTAACGACAATGACAATAATTGGAAATATTTTCAAGTGAAAGGATATGCATTTACTTGTTTGGGAAAAGTTGCGGCTCGTCATTCCGATGAGCTTTTTTAAAACTATTATTCGTATCTTATAGAGTAGCTAAACTTAAATTTATTTGAGTCATGTTAAGAAAAGAGCTTCTTAAAGAAGACTCAGGACAACATTTTGTTTTATTTGCAGAAATATTTAAATATACCGAAAACTAAATATATACCAAAATCGGAAAAATTAGATAGGTACATGAATACGTGCGACAAAATAGAAAAATTTTGAATGCTAAAGACTTTGTTAATATATCGATATATATTTTTATACCGATTTGAGAAATTCCTCCGAAACGGCTTAACGAATCGGGATGATCTTTTTTTGCATCTTGTAGGGCATGTTCTCCGATCGACCCTGTTAAAAAATGTTTTTCGATTTGATCATCGTAATCTATCTCTATTTTTTTAATTAATATTTTTGCACCGATTTCATGCTGTGTTCATCGGTTCCCCCGGGACGGCTTGACCAATCAAGGTGATTGCTTTAGCATCTCGTAGGGCATGTTACGCAATTTTTTGCATTCGTTTTTCGTAAACTGTTCTTTTTGCAAAAATCCAATTTTTATCAAATTTTGTAAAATCTAATTTACTTATACATAACACACGTGTTTGCTTGACGCACATATTATACGTATATACGTGTACAAAAAAATAAATGCAAATTAATCATTGATAATTACTCGTTACTTTTCTAAAAAACTGTTGGATTGATAAGCTGCAATAATTTATAGACATGAAACATATGTGACATATCTAAATCAAATATTGCCGTGAACTAATAGAAATCATATCAAGAGATGACATACTGTGCAATATTTGTATAAAGTATCTATATAATGCAAATAAAACTAATTACAATAGTTACGTGTACCTATACTGAAAATACGATCAAGTCACGATAACTAATTCATGATATTAATATGAACAAAAGATATTGTCATATAGTGATGGTATGAAAGATTTTCCATATAAAATTACCATCTTTTCAGTTCTACCATGATTATAAAATATCGTATAACATTATCGTATAACATAAATATCGTATAACATATTATTAATTGTTTACTAAATTACCTCTAATTGACATCGTTATCTTCACAGACTAAAATTTAATTTTTTTTCTTTTAAATTTATCGGTCAAAATATCAAAATAACTTCTATAAAGTCAAGCAGATATTTCGTTTCTTAGAAATCCATATTTAAATTCTTTACTTATTATTAAATATTATACATATTACATCGAGGCTTTCAAATGTAATGAGATAAGAGTACAAGTACCTATTGAAATTTTTGTACAAACACAATCATACATTTTTCACATTCAATTTGTCGTGATAGTTACATCCCCTCGAGTTTCTTATCAGTTAACGGTTAAATAGATGTTGCATACATTGTATGTACAATGTACAGTCTACAATACGCATACATACATACACACATAGAAGATGGCCAAGTAAGGCTGTATCCTCTAATAAGATAATCATCGCTATTAGAGTAAGATCAACCACTATTTTTAATACAGGCTGCCATCAAATAATGTGTCAAACGGGTGGGAGGTGATTCCTTGTGAAGAAATAAGAAAGAAATATAAAATAATATTTTTTCGTCCGAGGCTTAGTTTTCGACAAAAGATCGAGTTTAAAAATTTATCAAGTATTCTTGAACACGGCTAATTCCACACTGAATAGGGCTAAATAATCGACACAAGGTGATTCTACGTGTGAGAATAAGTCGAAAATATAGAATAACATTTTTTTTCTCAAGAGGCTTTGTTTCCGAGAAAAATAATTTTGGAAATTTATTCAAACTCTATCTTTTTCAGAATGAAACAAGAAGAGGACTTAAACGAAAAAATGTTATTCCACATATTTTGTTTCTTTTATAATCAGTCAAGTTGAAGTATACTTTACAAATTTTCAGACTTGAATTTCTCAAAAAAAAAAAAAAAAAAAAAAAAAAAAAAAGAAAAAATCACCTACCACCCGCCTGATTTGGTCAAATCTTGTGTTTCGAATGAAAATTAGTCAGTTTTCAGTCCGCTACCACCATTTCTAGATCTAATCTATTCCTAAATCAGTCTTTTTTCTAACGCTACATATTCCGTTTTTAGTCTTACTCTATAGGTACACAAAACTGTGCCCAACTTACCGCTCGGCAGACACTTTTATATTATTTATCATGTATAGAAGCTTTACTTTGTTACATCGTTGAGAAACAAATCGTTTTCAATCGTTTTCAATGTGATTTCCATGCGAAGCGATACCACCAGACTTAGACTTAGTTTCTATGTAAATAAAATATTCGAAAAATTATTCATTAATTACAATTAATTAATTATCGTTCGTATTATAGATGACTAACACGATATAGCGTTAAACTTATATATATATATATATATATATGATATTGCATTAAAAGTCGATGTGCAAAAATTTATTATACTTAACGTATCTATCGAGAGCTGTTTTGTAAAAATAAAGTAGTAATTTACACTATGCAGTGATCACGTATATATTGAAAATTATATTTATTTTTTATCGTCATCGTGGTCTATTGTTACGGTATATATGTTCAATTAAGTTAGCTATTACTCTGGCTAAATATGTTTATTCAGACATTAACGTCCAACATGTTCAAGTGGACATTAACATTAATGTCAGCGTGTAATTTTATACGCTCTTGTGTTCGCCCTCTTTCGTTCGCTCAATTATCGATTATCTTTTTTCAGTCATTTATATTTTTCTATCGACGAATAACATTTATGTTATGTTTGAGTATTTATATCTACCATTGTACGTACCTGTATCATCAAGCTGTAATTTTACATAAATATGTTCGAGTTAATCGCGCGTGTAAGAATTTTTTTTTGGATAATTTCGACACGATGAGCGGTTACCTGATAAATACATTTTTGTATAGCGCTTTGGAAAGTACGGAGCAAATTTCATGGTTTATAATGCATAACGATTATTCACAAGTACGTACGTAGATGCGTATTGAAATTATTTATATGCAGAAATTGTCTACGTCAAAGCTCGCGTATAATAGAAACTAATTATGAGTTGATAAATTGAGAAATAGAATGCGCAATTAGTTATTACCAGGCATTTTTAGGAAATGTCTATATGTCTAATGTCTCGCTATATGTCTCGCTATTATTATTATCTTCTTTTTATAAAACACAAATCGAATCAAGTCAATTGGAGCAAGAAGCTAACAAGAGCAAAAGAAAATATTCTACTGTACAAGTGAGGCGTATTTTTCTGCTCTAATCATGGCTAATCAAGTAGTCTTTTCTAACATCGTTCATTGCTTGCGATTGAAACGTAATTGAACCCCTACCGCGAATAGGATCGAAGATTTATTCCTTATTCATCAAATCTTGATAAACTCGAGCTTCGTGTAGGTATATGCGAATAAAGTGAAAGACGAAATATTGAAATCCTTCTCCAAAACTTTTTCTATATTTGTCAAGAAAGATGTGTCGAGTTTCTGGAGCTTGGACGACATTTTTATCTTTAAAAAGAATCAATCGCGATAACGAAGATTGGGCAATATTTTGAATTACGTAAATTACGTAAAATTTGAGATTCCAAATAATTATTAACGCAGCGAAATCGTCAGATCATAATTCTATTCCTTTTCGATAATCGGAATTGTATATTTTGTTGCACGACGATATTTATGTTAAACCATACTCGCTTAACAATTATAATAATTTGATCGGTATGGTATTATCTTCAACGTTGTATTAGTCGAATGTAAAATTGTCCGCGATACGGAGAACTGATCGATAAGCTAAATGTAAATCACCGGCAGGTCGTTTCCAGGTAAACCTGTTAACCGAAGCTTTGAAATTAACACTCGGATCGACCAAAGATTTTTCGTCGTCCTCGATATAAAGCAACTAAGTAGTGGCTGCGAATCGATCGTAGAAAGTTGTCGAAAAGTGCACGAGATCGTTGGCGAAGGAGTTGCGAGTGATTCGCATCGGAGGATGCAAAAGCGCGAAGAAGGAGGGACGCTTGCGCTAAGGGAGACCGCGTACTTTCATTTCGAGCGGCCACCTGTGCTTGCGCTCACACTCTCCTACCCCATTCAAACCATCCCAACCCCTGCCCTATACTATATATACGAAGACACTCTCGATACCGTTTCACTTCCCAACGTTACCACCGCGTCGGACTCTCTACGTTTCCAAGATCGTATCTGCTTCGACAAACGGACTCGCAGCGATTCCTCGTTTATTCTTTCACCCCTATTTTACTTGGTGAGTTAACGTGTCTACCTCGTTTATCCTCTTATTTATTAAATTTCCACAATTTGTTCATTAAGTGGCAATTACATGTCGACAGACCATTGTTACGGTACAATTAGTTCGAACGAAATAACAGATTATTTCGTAAGAACGAAACATCATTAAGTGGTTTTTCATTTTCGAACTCGTGACTCGAAAGAATGTCTGAAAAAGTCGTTCACATTTACGTGTCTTCTACGCATTATGTACATAGATACATGCATAACATGTACTCGTACATAACGGTTTTAAGATCATTTTATAGGAATGGAAATTTAAAAAATATATAAATGTATTTAAATAAATTTTCAATAGATCAACACAGTGATAATAGACAGATAATAGATTACGACAGTGATAATAATAATAATAAAAGTACAAAACTGTACTGGAATAGCGACATAACACCTACTGCCTAACCACTTACTGCCTTTTTTTTTCATAAAATGTATTCTTCGATGAAACGCGTAATACATTAGGACACACTTGTAGCGATACCGACAACTCGAATCAGTCACATTATAGACTTTCTTAGATTTAATGGCCGAGTAGTATGCCGAGCTCTCGTAATCGTGGTCCGTATGGTGTACGTATTTTATCTCGTACGATATTACATTACTTAAAATTTCCTGATTGTATATCTTGACTCGGACTACGAGAATGGTTGTCGTTACCTCTCTTACTGCTGGCTTCCATAACGTGGTAGATGCGGAAAGTAAAGCTACTTTGATGGATACGTAAGAACGTTTCGAATACGAGAATCTGAATACTTGGAACGTGTACCAAGGACCAATACGTCAAGGAAGTCGTCCTGGACGATGACACATCCAACGACTGACAATAGTAGAAGATTACGTCTTTACCAAAATTATTATATAAGTTCTATCACAATTTCGTTTAATCTGACACGTATTTATACAGAAATAACGTAACGTTGCCTCGTTGGGTTGCAAACATCCTGATTTCTCTTTATGAAAATGAAAACCAGAATAGTCTTTTGTACCACGGTGTACTATTCGCGGTGTACTTGTACGATAATGTGTTCGAATTTTCTATCGTCGTCTATCGTATCGCACGAATCGTTATCCAAAATCGAAAACCTTCGTCGAAAAGGTTGATAATCATAATCAAGGATAGGAAAATAGAGTGATATTATTAAGGAGATGCTATCGTTCGATTCAATTTCACGCCCATAAATCACGCTCTAAATGTGTGCAACTGCTTGTAATTTTATCAAATTTCTTTAAAACTACGTCATATTACCCGTCTAAAAATATTACTAGTTGATCGATAACCTAAGTACATATCTGCCCCTACAAATAATTCATTGACGAAACATCTATGAAATTTTAGGTAAGGTAACTCGTATGTCCTCCCTGTGCTCGAGCAACCCAACGTCTTGTCTATCGATGTATATGAATTCTATGATTGCGATCGACGATACGTACTACTAGCGATTATAGGTGCACTTGATGTTTGGTCAAATTTTTCACGGTACATACTACGATTATCTTTGTCGATGTATGTATTTCTGCACACAGATATACGTATATAGCTGTATATTAGAAAGAGCAAAGGTATAGTTATATATAAGAGTAAAGTTATAGTTTTGTAATGAAAAATAAATATAGAAAATTTATCATTTGTAATAATATTGTAACTTGGAATCGTTACGATTAAATAAGATACTCGTATATTAAAGATACTGGTATGTCCATCTTGTGTGCATATTTTCTCCAAAGAACGTAGTAAAACTTCTTAAAACTCGATAAAAGTTTTTCCAGCAGTCCAACAGGGAGTCTCGTAAAAAGTCCAAGAAAGGTTCTTTAAACGATCCAGAAAAACTTCTTATTTATTCTAACTGTTTCGTCCTTATGTACGCGTGGTTTCTTCGGACGGTTTCAAGAAAATCCAAGACTATCAAGGAACTCGCAATAAATTTAGTAAAGGAAGATAGGGAAAAGTTATAATAGGATGGTATTTAGAAGCAGATACGTAGGTGTCTATTCAGAGGCAAATTCAGATAAGATTGGAATATAAGATAGCACGTAAAGTATGTGCAACAAACGGTGCTAATACAATGCAATGCAACATCATTACGATACGATAGAGATTCAATGAAGAAACTATTTTTTTACAATCGGAACGATCGTAACGTATTGATTAAGTAAAGTTAAACGGTATGATGGTAAAGTTTAACCGGCTAGCGTGGATGTCCACCGCGAAAGTGGTCAAAAGTTTTGAATATTTCAGATCACCTACATTTTTCTTCAAATAGAAGTAGAGTAAAAACAAAGAAAAGAAACAAAATTTATCGACTGACGAATGAAAATAACGGTGAATAAGAAATAGTACGATGCGATAAATAAACGAGAAAAGTATTTCATTATCTACTTATATGTATTTAACAAAATCTTCTTACCGAGTTTAATTCATAAACCTATTCAAGATCAACTAATATGACTTTCGATGAAAATCAATTAAAGGCTTAATATTATTTTACTTTCAGGAAATTTGATAAGATGTCGATCAAATTCTACGCAAAATCGCTCTTCCTATTTATTATTGTTGGCCTTGTTGTTGGTGCTGAAAATTACATAGATTACGGAGGTAGGTGAAAAAAAGTTGAGAATATTCCTTCGACTGAGAACGAATGTACGTATTATTTATGTTCGTTCAATGAACGTTCGAATATAAATAATATTATCCTTTTATTTTATACTTTTTATATTTATTCGCGTATTATTTATTGGTATTATTTATATGGTATCTAAATGCTTATTTTAATTTTGAATTTGTAAAACTCTATACGTAGATGGTTACAAGCTGTTACAGAGTTTTTGCAGTCTATAAGTTGAGACGACCACATTACCACATTGAGGAAAGTATTGCTTTTGCTATCGCTATGTAATACAGCAGCAACGTACTTCAAACGATGAACGAACAAGCCTTGTTTCGAAGAAACGATCTCTATATCGTTCCTATAAACATGATAATTACCGCTTTAAAGCTCGTAGCTCGTGTACGAACGTTGAAAGTGGAAAATTACAGACGTTCGATGTCAGATTTACCTGTGACAAGCTTTTAAATAATCGTTCTCGATATGATAACTTCTTCGTAACTTTGCAATTTTCATTTTGCATTTTATTATACATACAAATCGCTTAATGTAAACATTGAAAATTTAATAAATTGAAATATAATATTATTTATCAAAATTAAATGCTCGAATATCTTCGACGATGTTAGCAACTATCGTTTGACTGACAATGATTAACCAACAACTAGTCGAACTGTCTAATTTCACTGATCTTAATAGCCAACAACGTACCATCGCTTGGTCACTTTCATCTGTACGTTGTATTTACAGATGAAGTAGCAGAAAAAACGCCAGTTGAAAATATTCACGAGCTTTACAGAATTCTGATGCAACGTAACGCTTTGGAGAATGCCGGACTTGGCGAGACTCCACTGGAACATTTGATGATCCGTAAATCTCAACGATCGCCTTCGTTACGTTTACGTTTTGGACGTTCGGATCCTCGTTCGTCCGTAAGTATACGAGTTTTTAACGTTTTTATCTTTAGATAGCGAACATTCTTGGATAAACACTCGCATAGAATAGAAATTTAGAAATACCGACGTAATAAGAATAATAACTATATTTTCGTCCTTTCTTTGGACAATACGCTCTTTCAATACTTTTCTTTCATTCGTGCAACAGCAAGACTTACCCATTTTTCTTATCTAATTTACCTGTAAGTTTTCTTCGCTTTTTAACCACGACGAGAGCAAAATATAATCCGCTAAAATATACATAGATATGTATGTATGTGTAGCAAGTTAAATGAGCTAAATTTTATTCAATTTCGCTCGAGTCGTGGAATTTTATTCGAGGAATGATTCGTACTTAATATAGGATAATAGAGAAACTATAACATCTAATTATCTTATAAATCCAGAAATTACAGATCTATCGCGAACGAAATGACGTATATGAAAAACATATTTGTATATTTATTCGTATCGACGTAATCGTAAAAATGTAGAAGTCAATAATTGTGCGATACACTTTGGGACAAATAGTAATAGAATTTGTATAAATAACATTTGAAAATTGTATTTTTCAGGTGGGAATTCTACCAAACCTATAAGCGTTATCTCATCGAGATTCGACAAGTGAACACGGATACGAATAACATTCTTCAGTTTCTCTTACCATATATACAAAAATCGTACGGAGTGTACAACGTACATCTAATTATATCGTAACATTACGCGATCTGCTAGAAAATAGAAATTATTTTTATTTTTCTTCTTTTATTCTTTTTAAACACCACGAGAATTAAAAACATTGTCCATGATTAAAATATTTTCCATACTAAATATTATATTTTTGATGGTTCGTTATGTAAAGTTAATTTTTGCTCTGACTGTAAGCAGTATAAAAATATAATAGACGGTGTAGTGTTTGAAAAGAAGATCGACGTTTGAAATTACTAATAAAAGGGACACAAGAGAAATTTACTACGTCTTTTACATTACGCGATTAATTTGTATCTCCTTGTTTATTAAGTTAGCGATTTTTATTTATTTTACCTACATATATCCAGTGACACCTTTTATTAAGTAAATATCTCAACATCATTTACGTTATATTATTAGAATTGAAAAAAGATGTTGCTTATCGGAACAACACGTTCGTCCCTTGGAAGAGAACAATTTTTTTCAACGTTTTGCTGAAGTAAAAAATTAACGATAAGAATGGAAAACAACCATCGCAACAGTTGTATACATAAAAATGAATATACCTAATACTTAATTTATTTTCAACTTTTTATTATCGTTAATTTCATTTCTCCGAGTACGAGTCGTTGAAACGAAAAGATCAAAATGCCGGAGATTGAATTATTTATTTGACTTGATTTCCAGTGTTTGTTGGTGTCGATCTGTCAATTCGGACCATGAATTTATGCAATGTCGCATCATGTAATAAACATTCGGTTAATGGATGTTCGAGATGGAAGTATACCTATTTAATAATAAGGCGTACTGAATGTGGAAATAACAACAAGGCTTATTTGAGATGCAAGTATATTTAATAACAAGGCATAATATGATAATATCGAGAATTTCAACAGATTGAAACGAAGAAATGTGAGTTTGGGTTTTTTGTAAACTTTGGAGTGAAAATTTATTAACTACGTATAATTACTTGACACTTACAATTAGTTGCAAGGTATAAATTGTTTCCGAAACGTTATAATTAAACGACTCTATCGTCCTATATGTGTTTTTTCTTTCGCAAATTTTAAGTACATTCGTTGCACTTTTACGTTATTTCACTCACATAGAGATTTCAAGCATTACATTTTTATACGTATAATTTCTCAACATTTCTGGCTCATGCCCTAAGTTTGCGATGTAGAAAATTTTATAGGGAGCAGAGTTTGAGTCTTAGAATTAGTTAAAAAAGTTTAGTTTATCTTGAGCTATAATTTAAACGTTTAATATGATTTCATGATATTTAATCGTTACTTAAAGTGTGCCGTTTTTATGGAAGAACAAAGTTTCTTAAGCGAACACGCGGCTTCTCTGTCTTCGTGAATCAATTCGCCGATATTTTTAAATTCTGGTCGTGATAAAAGTTGGTTTCGTGCGTGGTCTATGGTGATAGAAAGTGGCATTGTTAACATTTTTCTCCAATTCGTTTTCTCATATTGGATAAGAAACTGTAAGAAGATGACTTTGTTATTCTTTGTAAATATGATAATACGTATTTTACTTTACATAAATATCGATATCAACAGAGTTTGAATACTTTTACCGGGAAAAAATTGTATCATGTAGTTGATCGTTTAGACTATACTAGCCAATATATCCATAATTTCGACATATCTACTAATTTGTTTCTTTAGAAATGTGAAATAAATTTGCTTACCGCTATCCTGTTTGCCGTACTGTTTTATTTCTACTAAATACGAACTATATCACGTTTTTATTTACGAAAACCGAAAACGTCTTTACTAAAATCGTTTCGCGAATAAAGTTTCTAATTATAAGACAATTCGATTAATGGATAAAGAATATATATGTACATACCATTATATATTTTACATTAACCACTCTATCTACTCTATGTATGTTTGTATTACTTGGTTAAATTTTTAACTTTATTTTATTCGAGCTTTGTAACGTAGCTATTTTAATAAAGATCTATATGCTCCCTCGATTTTTCTATTTATTTATCCTATCACGATTATTCCAATTATATACTGACCTGATCAAATGCTGTGTCTTCGATATGGAACATTATATGCGTTAGTGGTTTAAAAAGAGGTGACATATCCGGTATATCGTCCACAAGTTTCGTAATATCATTTTGTCGTAATTTATTTAATATTAAATCAGACGCGCGAATCAGAAATTCGTGCGTTACCTGTAACGCGAAATATTTTGCGCGAAATTAAATTTTGCATGCGATAATTTAGACCACGATATGTTTTATTACGTACTTTTAAAGCCTGTCGTCCAGAACTAGTGAACAACAGCTCGTCGGTATGTACCTCGATAACGGAAAACAAGTTGTACGTTTCGTTAATGCATGAATCTATATTTGACGTTTGTACACTGAAAGATTAATTTAAACATTTAAACAAGATCGAAGAGAAAAATTGTTGACCTTAAAATCCAAGATAAAGGCGAATTTCGTAGCAGCTTTCTTACCTTATTTTTCACCGATATAAAGATCGAATTATCATTCACGCGAAAAGCGAACCTCTAATTATTTTGAATAGTGCGTTGTGATTGCCAATTTTATATAAAAATTTCATATAAATATTTTTTTAAGATTATAAAATAGTCTTACTTTTTTTTTACAAGCTGGAAGAAATCATCGATTTGGGAAGTATGCTTATCGTCTTCGTCGATACTACAAATAGCTTCGGCCAAGGTGGTTACTGTTGCTGATACATCGTTGGGGTCGAAAAAATTTAATTCTAAGTAATCTATTCCTTCAGAGGTTGAATCGCCTTGTATTTTTGTTTCGCAAGTTTTCGAAAACTCGATAAGGGCGGTATAGAGGGATGCACAGAGAACGTGGAGAAGGACGTTCCCACCAATTGGATGACAATGGGCAGGGATATTATCTTGTAATGCAAGTACAGTTTTTAAGATTGCAGGTGGTAACGTTACATACAATTCAGCGAAACAACCAATTATCAACGACATTGCCTGATATATAGAAGCGCCTGTCTGCAAATTATTGAGATATTTTTCAAAAACCAACGTTTATTAGACTTTTTATGGTTACTATGTTACGTATTGGTTTCAAGGATGACGAGCAATTTTCGTTTCTTTTTCGGATTTCTCAGCAATAATTGCAGGACAAATTCATGTCAAATATCTGCTTGTTACGTTTACATTCGAAGGTAATACATTTGTATAAATACCATATCGAAGACTAGCGATAATATTAACATACAGCTCGCTCTACATGTATGTACGTACGCATGTAGAGATGTAGTTTTGTTACTATTAAAATGAAATTAGACGCACGTTTATAATCAGCAACTTACTCTTACAGCTTCCAAAAGAAGTTCGATAATTGGATGCATCATATTCTTTAATGGGCTTAAAATCGCATTCAGCCAGGGCGGTCTTGATTGATTCCACACCTAAATAAATATGTTTATGTTGCTTTTACATATATTATTTTTTATTCTTACATATTTTATTTTTATTCTCGATATTTTAACGAATACCTGTTGGCGGTCCAGATAGCTCGACCAATCAGGAATCTGCTTTAAAGCTGTCACGATAACACAACCAGGGTCTTGCGCTATATACGTTAAAATATACATTAGGCTATAAAGGCCTAACGCTGACGTTACTTTCATCGATGCGTTGCACATTATACCACTGCATAAAAAACCACCGCAACTCATTCCATTGGATTGTATTTCTTCGAAAATATCAAAATCATTTTTAGACGTAAAATTACCACATTTGTAGATCAAAGTGTTTAATAATATTTTAGCCACAGCATAGTCGTTCATAAAGAGTACCTATGAAAATTTGAAATTAGCATCTTTTTTTAATCGTGCAAATGTATGCATTTGCCGGGGACAAAAATAAGCGGACAGGTAGCGGAAATGGATTGCATTGTTTTACCACTTGACGAACATCAACAGTAGAAAAAAATTATTGAAAAGAAACTGGTTTTATGTTTATAGCTTATATCTCTAATTAGAGATTATTTCATTCTTATGCTATAGATAGCGTTACAATTACCTTCATTAACTGAGGCCAATTTGGTTGAGGTTGATGTCTAAGAACGTTTAATTCTAAAATTGCAACTCGATTTTTAGGCAAATTTGAAATGTAAATGTCAGAATCGACGGAGCCTAATAAATTCGGTGCGCATACCAATAACCAGGCGGCAGGTTCGCGACGAGGTTGCAAAATTGTTAAATTTTCAAGTCCAAAACGGAATACCTACAATAAAAATTCAACCAATCTAAAACAAAACTGTATGATCTATACCTACGTATTTATGTATACCTATTATAAACTATACATATGCAGCTATATGCATGTATATAGCATAACAAAACTTAAAGTAAAAGTCGAAATTAAGATATTCTTATTCTACCCCATACAGAAGAAATGATTTTTAAATTCTATATTTCTGTTTAATCGCATTGATACTAATAACGATAAAAAGACGAATTATAAAAGATTTTATTATATCACTCCCTAATCATCTTCCATCTTTGTTAAATACTATGCGAAGATGTTAAAAGATCGTGCGAGATGACCTTGAAATTTCAAAAAAAAAAAAAAAAAAGAAACAACAAAGAAGTATTATCACTGCCATAACATGGCTCGTTCTGCAACGTTACTCTACTGATCAGTAGAACACATTGTAATAAAAAAAATTGTTATCCTCGAAAATCATGTTCAAGATCAATTCTGTATCAATTTTTCTTTTACAAATGTCCACCGATCCAGAGATATACCTCTCAAAGAATCACCCTGTACATATATTTAATCGTATTTCAACTATTCGAAACTATTAATATTTTACCTGATATAATTCTCGAAGAGGGGTTCCTCTTAATAACAAGCAAATCAACAATTCATTGCATTTCGCGTGTATGTCCCTAATGGCAGTTGGTAATCTGTTTAATTTCATTCCAATCATTTCGTTGGCGCTTGTACAGGCACCCAAAGCAAGATATCCGGTACAACACAGAACGTTAAAGGCATCCGCCCAGAATTGTTCGGATCGTGCCAAACTCGGTCGACCCTATTTTTGGTTTATATTTTTCTGTATCGATATTACCTATGCGCATAGCAAGTGAAAGCGATATACGATCGTTAGATATTCTTACATAAATAAATCTTGTAACAATAATGGACAAAGACTCGTTCAACATTCCAGAAAAAACACGTTGTGCCATTTTTGGAGATACGGTACTCCATAGATCTCTCTTTGTTCCTAAAAATATGAAATAAAAAATATAAAAAATATAGTTATAATTAAGAGGAAAATACAACAGTATCGATCCGTAGGTGTTTAAATAACATAATTACAAACGCAGCCTTTGGATAAGACAAATATGGATCCCCGAAATCTTTTGGAAGGAAAATTATAAAATGCTATGTTACGTGAACGTACAACTGTTACAACTTTCAGATTTCAAGGAATGTTAAAAGCACGTTACATACCTTCTGCTGAGAAA